AAATAAATAAATTATAAATAAAAATAAAATGAAGCTAAGGACATGAGCCAACACTGAGCAAGAAACTGAATATGAGCAGTCAATAGTGTTGAACTGCTCAATGTCTCTAGAAAATCAATTCAAGATTATGTAAGGTTGGAAAAGCCCGTAAAAGAATAGGATCCATTATGGAAATGGGTTTGGAGAACTCACGTTTCCAAACTTTGGATGGATCTGAAATTCATAATAGCTTTTCTGGAGTCAAATTCATCAGAACTGAATATGAACTTACTTTTAATCCAGAAATTACAGTTTTAGAAAGAAATCCAAAGAAGAAAACTTGGAGGAGTGTAGAAAGGTGTATGCCCAAAGGTATTCCTCCACAATGTTAATTTATAATAATAAAAATATTGGAAGTCACCTAAGTGCGTATCAATAGGTTATAGGCAAAATGGCATTGATCCCTAAGAGAGAATCCTAGGTGGTCATTAAAAACGAGCACCTAAGGGCTGAAAAGCCAACATGGACAAGATGTTAATCACATATTCTGAAGTGAAAAATGGGAATTTACAGTATATATGTTATCCTAATACTGTGTGCGTGAGTGTGCATTTCCAAAAAGAACACTGAAATAGAAGCAGCCAAACCAAACACCAAGAGACAAAACTACAACCCACCTATGGAGAACAACAGGGAGCAGTATTACTATTAATTTTCCCATATAAGTAAAATTGAAGAACACATTTCAGAGAATGTAGTCTATGACTTCTGTGTAATATTAAAGTCATTTTATTTATATTTTCTAAGCATGATTACTTTCTCATTGTTACCTAACAGCATGCTGTTTCATAGGTAAAAGTTTTTCACAGCCTCCCATAGTATCTGCTCTTCTAAAGTTACTGAGGTTCAGGTATGTTTTTCATCACAACCATTAGCAGTTTTAAAACTTGTGGATACATTTTATAGGAATTTTTAAATGTTTCAAACTATAAAAATATATAATACCTGCACAAATCACCGAATTGTCTGGGAAGGAAAGACCCCCAAAAACATAAACAATAGTTGTTCATCCATAGGCTATTAAAAATTACATGGTTTATTTCTCTTCAGTAGCAATTACAAATACAGTTTTTGCAAATCACTGGGCATGACAGCTTTAAAGTTGTCTAACTCCAGGCAACAACATATCATTTGGAAATGGCATGGATACTTTTGCTTGCAATATACAATTTTAATATTGACAGTATTTCTGATTTGCCCAAGTCAAATGCCCATGAGTCCGGTTTAAGGAGGTAAACAAATATGGATTAAAACACATGGAAAAAGGCCTAGGATACATGCTGAACTAAAAACCAACAGTTATTTTAGGAGAGGCAACTATTGAGAGGCGGGGGGGGAAGATTCATCTGTTACATTTTCCTTAGAATATGTATGCCCTCTTCCCCCAACACGGGTACCTGGTATGGACCACTGGCACAGGAGCACCCAGTCCTAGGAAGGCTAAGGAAGTATGACTAGCCCCTGGGCCCTAGTCACAGTTGCCATGCTTCTCCAAGTTCCTTTTCTAGTTTAAAGTATGTGGTTGGAGACCCAAAAGAGCAGGACATGCCTTCACTAGGGGCTGGAGTTCAAATAGTTCTAAACTCCCCTGCTGTCCTCTGAGGATGTGAACTTCTTTGGGTTGGGGGGGGGGGCAGCGGCTGAAACAAGTGAGAATTTTTGGCCTGTGTGTCACTCCAAGTAAGCCGAAACTAAGGCCTGCTCTTTCAGATGGGGTTAACTATTCCCATCTTTTATATGAGGAAACTGAACCAGAGAGGCTCAACCATCCCAAGCTATGGACTCCAGACATGGTTGAGCAGGCAAGATATCCAGCATCACTCTTCCAATTCCTCAAGTATCTGAGGGGACCTTACTCTTAAAAAAGTAGTGTCTAAGTCAGTTCTTCGTTGTCTGAAGGAGAAGCCTGGGGAAGTGCAGAGTCTGAAAGGCGGTGCAGGTGGGGAGGAGGAAGGAGGCGGGAGATTATGTAGTGTCCCATCACTCAGTGGTACGTGAAGATTCTGTGGAAATAATGGGAATCAGAACCGGCTAAGCCTTCCCCAGAAACACATGGGATGAAGGAGCTGGGCAAGGGCAGCTACAACTGCAGGTGCCTACTAGGAGCAACAAGCGGCGTGGTTGAGGGCATCTAGGATACCCAGGGGTTGAACCTTTCCAGAAGCGATGGCTCTACCCTTCCCCGCCAAGTACAGGCTGGATGTGAAGTGACAGGGCACACTGGGCAAGGGGAGGCTAAGTTCCACACAGAAAATGGGACTAATTCCCAAAAGACAGGTTCTAGAGAGTTTACCAGGAAACAATTTCCAGGCACTAGGAATGTGAATTGCTTAGTCATTTCAGAAAGCCATACCTATGACCCAGCCATTCCTTTTCTGACTTTGCACTTGAGCATTAGTTTTTAAGTTCTGGGAGGTGACCCAATCACTGGCTGTGAAATCAGTTTAGTATATGGGAATAAGCATTTCTTTTAACAGAATGTGGTACAACACAAAATAAAACATCAAAGTATATTACAGGTAATTAGGGTGTTGTTTCAGGAAACAAAACCATAGGTACCTAAAATTGTTGGTTATACATGTACATGTATTACACACACACACTCTCCCTCTCTCTCTCTCTCCCTCTCCAGATAACCAAATGGCTCACTCCCTCCACTGTAGCCTTCCCAGTGAGGTCATCCCTTCTCCATGCTATGCAGACTCAGACATCTCTCTGACAACTTTTCCTATTTTCATTTTATTTTACAGCACTTATCGCCATCATCTTCTCCCTTGCAGACATTTTCTTGATAGGACTTCTGATAGCAACAAGGACACAAACTATCTGGTCACGATGACATGTGAAAAAATAGTCTAGGATAAGTTCTCATTGGCCTATTTTGTAACAAATGACCATTCCTGGATCAATACAAATGCGGGTCCAGGAAGAGATGGTATCATCTGGTCAACTCTTATGTTCACAAGGATGGGCTATCTCATGGGAAGAATGTAGAAAAGTTGCCTCAAGCAAACAAAAAGTAACGGCCACTACACATAATATTTAAGTACATGCTAAAAATGCCCTAGCAAGTGGACAAGGAAAAGGGTGAATTAATCAAACAATGCAGGGACAACTGGCTATTTATTTGGAAGAATACAGAGCTGCTTATCTCACAACACATGTAACAAGAAACACCACAGAGGGACATATGAAAAATGTCATTTAACATAATGTCTGCTTCATGCATGTCAACAGAGACATACCTGCCACAGTGCTCACTTCCAAAAGGAATTTACTTGTGACGATACAAAAGCACAATGAAGTAGAAATACTTAACTTTCAACTAGTAGAATAAGTTTATTTCTAATACTAAGACTTTACATAGGAATTTACAGAAATTAAAAAAACACCGTGCTGCTTATTATCCATTGGCTCCACCCAGACCTTCTCTCCACTTTCTCTGTGCCCACCTGGGCTAACCTGCAGATTGCATCTGGCTGGGTTCTCCAAAGGAAGGCACCAGCAATTCGGTGCCACAATTCTGGTGGGGACAATATCCCCTCGGAGATGGTCTCTCCTCCGTGAGAGCAGCTCTTATTGGGCTCTGGTGATGCTAGTTTCTTTCCATCCTTTGCCCCTTTACGACTTAGAATGGTCACAGCTTCTGGGTGATGCTAGTCTCTAGGTGCTTCAGTATCCCTTGTTTCTGGCCCACACCACTGTAATACGTCTACCATTACAATCCTCTTGGTTGGGGTAGAATTCTGTTTTTCATTAGAAGCAGGGCTGATACAAAAGCTATCCTTGTATTAACTTGTCAAAAGAAGTCATTCTTCCCCCAAATCACTGTATAGAACATGAATACTTAGAACTAAGTACTCGTTTGTACCAGCTGGAATACCTTCAGCTAGAAGTAACAGATAGCCTTAAAGATAAATAAGCAACTATTATTACCACAGTAACAGAAAGTCCTAGCCGAGAACAGGTCCAGATGGAGTTGTGCAGCTCAATGACGTCCCCTCTGAGTCAGGTTTTTCCCATTTTGTCTACTGTTATCTTCAAGCTATTGCCCTTCAGGGCTACAAGCTATAATTTGGTATAACATACATACAAGAAAAAGTCCAGCATAAGAGAGACAATCTCTCCTTGTGTCTTCTCATGTCACAATAGTTTATCACTAAGATCTTTCCCAGAAGTACCGCAGAATATTTTCCAAACATCTCAACAGAATCATTAGAATAGCATCTCCACGATTAACTTAGATTAATCTGGATTTACTCCTAAATCATCTGGGGGAAGAACGGAAAGAGAGACAAAACAGAGCCCAGCAAGTAAGAAGCAGAGTAGTGGGTGGGCAATGTCTCTTGGAACTGCTCATCACTGTGTTCCAAGGAGGTGTGGGAAAACAGTAGGACAAAGAAGGCAGGGACAGTGTATGACAACCTATTATTTTAAATACGAATACGTAGTTCCTGGGGCACATACAACAGATCATGCCTAAATAGATACAATAATGAAATACCAAGAGTCAGAAAGTGACATTTGAGTACATACCACTATTTTTTATTTGTGGAGTGCAGTGAGTATTCCTGTTCATAAATGGTGTTAACCTTTGCAAAATTCATGTAAATCCCACTGTTATTAACAGCACTTACAACATTATAGACTGACCCAGAGGCAGCTGAAAAACCTCAGAAAAATATTATTTGGCTTCTTTGGGAAGTAGTAGTAGATCGGTAACAATGGCCATACTAATTCCTATTCGCCAGCAACATCTGAGGGAAGGTTGGTGATGTGGTTGTAAAATAACATATACCGGCCAAATGATAAAGAGACTCAGGTAGTATTTACAATTAAGACTGGTGCAGAGGTAGTTAAGAAACCTCACAAAAACAAATTTAGGGTTCTTTACTGAAGAGGCAGTTCAGCAATACTGGCCATAGCCATTTGTTTATGTCAGGAAATGAGAGCGGGGGGGGTATGTAGTTTGTACTTTAAATTGTCCAGATATATTTTCGTATATACACAGTGGTGTGCTGGTAAGTATTTGACAACAGGTTCTCTGAGAAAATAACAACCCTGGTTTGTAGAGTTTGCCAATTTCCAGGGCATAAATGCTCCCACTAAAGCCAAGCTACCAAAAGGACGACACTGAGTGCAGAGGTGGGAAGAGATGTGCAGTAGCACATTAGATGGTATTTTTACCATGAGACTCGATAATATAAGTAACCTAAAGAACAAAGAGCAAAATGTTATAAAATAATTAAGAAGTGGAGTGCTGTGTATTTATTACCTTTTTAATATAATTCTTAAATAATGACTATGTTTAACAACTGGCTCACAAAATTCCCGAAAATTTAACCATTGGCAGCTGCAAGCCAGTGTGAGCTTACTCTAACACACCACTGTGTACGTGTGGGTACATGTGTATAAATATATTTACATATACATATATATACATATACAATTATATCAACCTATAAAGACACTGGTGGTATTTAGCGTGGGAGATACTAATATAGACCATAATAGCTATTTAATTAAGGGATATTTTCTCTTCACAAGTATGTTGGACTCCAATATGCAAATCAAGCATACCTCTAACTTCTGCTATATTACTATACCCACATCAGGCCTGCAAACATCAGGCCTGCAAAACAAATATTTAATATTGTTGTGACTCAACTTTTTTTAAGCTTCAGATTCCACTGTGAATATGGGTATGAATGAATACCATCCACTATATTTACAATAAAATTTGGTATCACATCTGGAATATGACACAGCAAATTCTAGACAAAGATTTCTACCACATTCCTTAAGTGAATAAATTTCCCCTCAATATAAATTTTCTGATGAAAAGCTTCAGTTTTTCTTGAGAGCTTTCACATATTCAAAATATCAGTAAGGTTTTATGCTAGTATTAATTATCTGAAATACGATAAGACATCGCTTTCTAGTAATGTGAGGCATTCTTTGGGCTTCATTCGTCTCATTTTTAAAAATGGTGTAAGAATTTGAAAGGGTGGGTGAAGGTTTCTGGACATCAGGATGTTGAAAGAGCTTTCACCCTTGTGTGAATTCTCTGGTGTTTTGTAAGTACCGACCTCTGACTGAAGGTTTTTCCACATCCATCACACTCATAGGGCTTCTCTCCTGTGTGAGTTCTCTGATGTTTAGTGAGAGCTGATTTTTCACAGAAGGTTTTCCCACACTCGTTACATTTATAGGGTTTCTCCCCTGTGTGAGTTCTTTGATGAACAATGAGGTTTGACTTCACACAGAAGGACTTCCCACATTCATTACACATAAAGGGTTTCTCTCCTGTGTGTGTTCTCTGATGGACAGTTAGGGCTGACCTGTGGCAGAAGGATTTCCCACATGTGTTACATTCGTACGGTTTCTCCCCTGTGTGTGTTCTCTGATGTTCTGTGAGGTTTGACTTTACACAGAACGTTTTTCCACATTGCTTACATTCATAGGGTTTTTCTCCTGTATGTGTTCGCTGATGGTTGGTAAGGTGTGGTTTCTGACAAAAGGATTTCCCACATTCGGTACATTCATAGGGTTTCTCTCCTGTGTGTGTTCTTTGATGTTGAGTGAGGTTTGACTTCTCCCAGAATGTTTTCCCACATTCACCACATTCAAAGGTTTTTTCTCCTGAGTGACCTCTTCGAAGCTGGGTGAGATGTGACTTCTTGTTGAAGTTATTTCCATTTTCATTGTGCTCATAAGGTTTTTTGCCCATGTGTACTATCTGACGTTTAAAGAGGGTTGACTTTTCCCACGTTTTAGGACCTACTTTATATTCGTGGGGAATCTTTCTTGTATAGGTTCCCTGATGGATAATGAAAGTTGAGTTATCACAGAAGGTTTGCCCATATTCACTGTATTCATAAGGAGTCTCTCCTGTAAGAGTTCTCTGATGTCCCAATCTTAAATCTGTATAGAAGGACTTCCCACAAATATTGCATTCATATGGCTCCATCTCCAAATGAGTTCTCTGAGATAAACTGAGTTCTAAACTGTGGATGAAGGTTCTTCCACATGCATTATATTTACAAAGCGTCTCTCCTATCTGTATTTTCTTGTTTGTGAAAAAGGCCGCTTCCTCATGGAAGGCTTGTCCGTCTTCATTATACTCAGAAGGCGGGTCAAAAATTGGCTGACTGAGGTCGTGGCTATGATTGAGCACATTCCTTTTTTGACTATATTTATAAGATTTCCCTCCGGGAGGTGTTTTCTCATGCTTAATATCAAGGAGCAATTTCTCATATACATTAAACTCATCAGGCTTCTTCCCAGAATAGCTCTTTCTACTAATAATTAAGCCTGAAATATTTTTCAAACTCATTTCACACGAGTCACATATCTTACATGGAAAATTTCTTGAAGGAACAGAATCTGTGTCCAGACTGAAAGCTTTTCTTACTCTATCACCACTATCTACATTTAATGTTTTGTTGGTGGTGAAAGCAAGTTGCCAAAAATGTTCGTCTTCATTGTCCTGGCTGCTCTCTATCAGGTCATCAACTTTCCAGTCTTCTAGAAATGAGAAAAATAACCACATCTTATGAATCCTAGTACACTTCTAATGGGACTAAACTCACACAAACGCCCTTTCATGTAGTCGATTCTTTTCTTTTAGGCTCAGTTTCCTGGCGTGAACTAAATCCAAGCAAAGGTTTCCTTTATCCTCCTGGTCTCAGTGGAAAGTAAATACATGCTACAGTGGAAACAGGAAATGGAAACTGGCAAGGACATTTAACATTTTAAATATAAAACCTTCAAAACTGGACGGAAAAGGGTGAAAATTCGAAACTGGGAGTGGCTGATGCAGGGAAACTCAGCGAATGGGGTGAGCCGGACAGAGACACTTAACACTAAATAAAGTGATGTGGAGACTAGTGGACATGCCTTTCAGAGGAGGAACTATGTGTGGTAGAGACAGAACAGTTCCAACCTAATCCCCTCACATACAGATTCCTGGGGTAGGATTCTGGCTGGAGCACATGATTCTACTCTGCGCACCAACACCAAACTTCCTCGGGTTCAACCAAGAAGTACTATAGCCCAGCATCTAGTTTTTCTTTTAACTTATTTTATAAGAAATAATTTTTTTTAAATGCTGTAAGACGCAGACTAGAGAAAGTGAAATAAAATCAAGACACACAGTGAGCAAGCTCTCACAGCTTGACTACTATGGTAGGATTCTCACTAGTATGCATGTTGCCAGTCCTTTTTTCCCCTCCATTTGATTTATAAGCATCAACATAAATTTCTGAAAGCGCCTACTTCCTCATTTTTTAAGGAATACTGCTTTACCTCAGACTCTCACTCTCCATCTAGCTGAGATTCACTACACCACAAATATCCAAAAGGAAATACAAAACTGATGAGGGGCAGGCCATCTCTTCGGAAGGACCAGGTTTACTTTGTTTTCTCACAGCTGCTAATGAATCTGTCCTGACTATCAAGTCATACATTGATTCACTTCAATCTGCCGGATTACTTCTCCCCAAAGCCATTCTATGTCTGAGGCAATGTTGATCTCTAAGTCTGCTTTTATAACTAGGTTTATCTTTTCTATCAAGGTTTTCTGCTTTTATATCTACCCTCATCTGTAGTTTTTACCTACTGGTGAGACCCATAAGGATGTTTCTCTATACAGTTCTGAGACCACTGGTAAACTTTATCATAACAATCCTTGGCTGTGCTTCACTGTTGCCACCCAATGCAACAGCGTCAATCACGTGAGAAAAAACTTCGATGGCAGTCCTGAGCCCACTGCTCCAAGGGCCAAATAGTAGTAATTATTAGCCAGCAAAAACAAATCAATACAAAACAAACTTTCTGCCAACTGGATTCACAGTAAGTGTCCAAGCCACCACATCACATGTCCAAGTAACAGTATTTCTGTACAGCTCCAGATGGGCCTCTCATAAACCACTCACTCCCGTAAACACAATGCAAACTGCATTCCAGCCCTGGCTCTTCCTGGAACCTGGACATCTTTCTGGATATGCTGCTTTCTTTCATTGAAAACAAGCCCCCCAAAAATAATAAAAAGAATAAATGCCAACAAACACTGCAACACCCCATCCACTTTCATCCTTCACTCACTGTCTTTAAAAGTTTACTGCCTGTAAAATTCACCATAATTTGGTGATGAAGTTCCTTGCTCAATGCTACACCCTTTGTCAAGACCACAGTCTAGCTCTTGGCAGGTGTTACCAAAATCCTGCTTCCTCTGACCTCACGAAAGAGACAGAACATGAATAATTCATAAATGCAACGCGCATATGAATTATTTCCAACCTGTATGTGATGAACTGTAATACACGAGGACAAAATGGGAATGTGCTTTTTGGAAAAGTGCTACAGAATGCTTTCTGAATGGATGAAAAAGAGTGATCTCTTTCAAATTTGACTTCAGTTAATCAAAAAAGTAATTAGTAAATTATCAGAATTAGGAAAAGAAAGGGCCTTTTCTGTGGGAAAACAAAATCTCAATAAAGAAAGAAACCCTAAGCAAGAGTAATATGATTAGTTCTGAGTTTTGAGGATGTAGCCACTAGTGGGTCATAAAATATGGGTTACTTAAATTACAGGGGGAAAAAAAGAGCTCTAATTTAAAGTAAGTGAGATAATAACAAGCCATTACTATGTACCATTCAATGTTTAAATACTTTATACATACAATATTAAGTATTTGAAAAGCAAAGTAAACAAGAATGAAAGTTGTAGACAGAAGAGAAAGCATTTATACACGAAATTTAAAGATACAAGAGAGGATGGGGTTTAGAGGAAATTCTGGAGAGCAGAGAGAAAGGAATGAGACAGGTAGAATAGGAGGACCACATTATCATAGTCAATGAAAGGAGACTTTAATTTTAATTTCATTTCTTAATAAGTAGCAACTTTGCCAGGCTAGTGAAAAATAAATCGGATGCTTCAGGTAAGAAAATAAAAATCACTTAGGGATTAGATCAAGCCAGGAAAGAAAGGACACACAGTTCTGGTTTTGAGTGGGATCAGTGAGACGTGAGAAAACAAAGAGACAGGAAAGCTGGTTTTAAAAGGCAAGCGACCCAGGAGTTTGAGGACACCAGCAACTGGGGATAATGGGTTTAGTGCACTGACCCTGGAGCTGCCATGTAAGATAGTGATAGGATGCTAGGATATTCCTTATTGGATTCCTGAGAAACAAGGCTCCCCAGTTTTCATGGTGCTCAGACTGTTCCTCCTCAAGCTCTTCTCGTGATGAGATTTAATAGATTTTCAGGCCTCGCAGAAGAATTGTTCCAGGACCACTGCTCTCATGTGCAAACCACCACTTTCTAGGAGTCTGCAAACTATGACTGCTGAGCAAAGGTCCTTGAACTATGACTGTTTTTTCCGTTTTTAGAGGGAAAAGACAGAAGAGGCAGTAGGGAGGAGTGAGGAGGGAGAAGAGAGAGGGGAGGAGAGGGAAAAGGAGAACCAGGCAAGAGGAGGAGGAGGAGGAGGAGGAGGTGGAGGAGGACTCACATCCAGACTGCATGTGACCCACCAGACCTAAAATATGTGCTACTGTCTTCACATAAAAGACCACCAGCCTCTGATCTGGAAGCCCTCAGCCAACCTTGTGCCTTTACCACCACCCACAGCTGACGCCTCACACGCGGGCACTACTGGCTCTGGCCTCAGCCACGTGCACCACACTCGCACAGAACCAACATCCTTTTCAACGCACAGCCTGGGCTCTAGCAGTTCTCTCCAGCTTCTCATGTCCAGGTTCAGGGATGTCGTAAGTCCCCTATCATCTAATTTCCTCTCAGTGAACGGCCCCTGATTTACCCATTTGCTTAAGACAAATCAGCCGCGTCATGCTGGACTCCTGGCTCTCTTCCACACTATCAATCCAACAGCAAATCTTGTTGGCCTCATCCTCAAGATCTACACACACACCTACCACCCCTCAGCACCTCCAACATCGCCTAAGCCCTTATCCTCTCTCCTGTGGAGTCTATGATAGTCTCCTAAGTGGTATTCCTTCCTTGCTCGTGCCTGAGCACCACCTCAACACCAGACTGTATTTACTGCATCAACTATAAATCAGATCTGATGACTTAATCTGACTTACATCTACTCAAAAAAAAAAAAAATACAATGATTTCTCACATCACTCAAAATAAAATTACCATGGTCCATGCTACTTATGACATCACCTCCTATCACTCTCCCCAACACGTATTCACCTCCAGCCACAATGGCCTCCTTGCCATTCTTCAAACAGTCTAAGAACACCGCTGAGAGGTTTGGCACCTGCCTGGAACAGCTCACAGTTTCACTTTACTAGGGTCTCATCCCTCCTTTGGACCTCATCAAACAGGTTTTCTCCAACTTCCTTACCCATTAACACAGGCCATTATTCTCTACCCCTTCCCCACTCCTTTAACTCTCTCCACAGTGCTTACCACCACAAATACCGTATGTACACATTCACACACATACACTTGTGCATGTGCGCACACACACATACTTCTTGTCCCTCACTGTAATACACACTCCATGAAAAAGGGATGTTATTCTTTTAATTACCTAAAAACATAACTGGATCATAGTGGGTACCCAACACATATTTGTTAAATGAATGTGTTAAGTATAGCATGAATACACACCAGATAACAAAAGGTGTCTGAAGAGAATAGAGGGAAGGTGAACAATTTTAAAAGATAAGCTAACCAAGAAAAATCACCTAAGATGAAGCCAACTTAGTCTGCATTATAGGTATTAGTAAATCACTCTAAAATATCATAGGACAAAGGAAAGCATTTATGAGGGCAAAGTGACATGTGGAGGAATGTGATTAAGGTAATGGAGGGATGTGAGCCAACTGTCCTTTGTCACTTCCAAAGGTCTAAAGTTTAAAAAAGAAATTTCTGAAGAATATTTCACAAGTGATAAACCCTAAACCAAAGGCCTAAGATCTCATTCCGTTGTCTTCCATCTGCCTGTGAACTCACTCTCTCACCTGGGTGGCACTGGCTTGGGAATCCTGCCTCTAATATCCAGGGCTCTTCTCCTTGCTCTATCTTGAAGACCACTTCTGGCTTAGTAATGCAATATCCTGTTGAGAAAAAATAATACAAGATGATGGCTAAAGAGCCTGGCTTCAGGGACTCTGAAAAAATGATGGGGAAGAAAGGTACAGCCTCAGGAACTGCCCAAGGGAGATGCCCATATGAACCAACCCCTGAGGAGGTTAAGAACACGGCATTCTTTATGGTGGCCAGAGAAACTGGTCATCTCAGGGCCTTGAATCTCAAGCATCAATCAAAATTCCACAGGCAGTTCATATGTTTCAACAACTAGAAATGCAGGCTACGGGTTGTCACAAGGAAAAAAAATTCTTACCTACTGAGACAAAATGGCTGTAATTTTCTAGAATCACATCTCTGTATAGTATCTTCTGAGCAGGATCCAGCAGATACCACTCTTCCTGAGTGAAGTCCACACATACATCTTTGAATGACACTTGTTCCTGTAATGGTATATTCCTTTTCTATATGAAGCTGTCAGAACTATATGACATGGAAGAAATTTAAAAGAGCTAATCTCTTTAGAGTTTGCTAAAAACTGACACATAGGATGCCTTCTTTTGTGTTATTTACTATGTAGGATAAAAGAAATATCTCGTACAAACCAAGTTTCCACTAAAGGCTTAGAACTGTTCCCCTTGCTGCAAATACTACTGATGAAAACAAACACACACCATTCCTTTTCTCAAAGTGCTTATGATGTGATGAGGAGATATATACATTAACATTTATTAAGTTATACACAAGAGGTAGCATGATGCACACAGTAGACTGGAAAGGAAAGCAGACCAAGAAAAAATTAGTTCTTTAATATTATCATTTATATGATAGAAAAAATAGACAATAAAACAGACAAAGCAGACCAGAAGGGGACCCAGATACTGGAAATAATAAACAAGAACTTCAAAATGGATTATGATTAATATGTTCAATAAAACAGGAAAATATGAACAAAATAACTGGGAGAAGTTCAATGGATATATGGTATGTGTACTGTGCAGAAAAAAATTACTAGAGCAGGCTGAGACTGGTCTGCTTTGAAAGGTCTGCTGCTATAAGGGTATCCCTTGGCTGGCACCTGGGAACTTAAATTCCCTAATAAGAATGGTTCACTGAGCCTGAACTGTTTGTGTAAGCAATATGGTTTATACTGCACACATGCATTCCTTCTAAGTCTGGAAGTTTCTGTGCCAAGCAGAGAGTACCAATGTGATCAGCTCCCGATTAAAAACATTGAGCCCTGAGTGTCTACTGAGCTTCCGTGGCAGACATTTCATGTTTGTTGTCAATCTCATTGCTAGATTTGGGAGAAAACTCTTAGAAGTTTGCTCCTGGCTTCCTCTCAACTACGCTCCATGTGTGCCTTTTCCCCTTATTGATTCTGCTTTATATTCTTGCACTTTAGTAAGTCATAGCCATAAGTAGAACCACCTGCTGAGTCACCCTAGTAAGTCACTGAGCCTGGGGATGGTCTTAGGGACCTCTGATAGATGTGTATACAGACACATACGTATACACATACATACATAGATAAAATGGGCATTCTAGAGCTGAGAAATACAACACTGGAATTAAGAACTCATTAAATGGGTTCAAAATCCTATTAGAGAAAACATGTATCAATCTAACAAGAGTATCAAAACATGTATGTATCTAACAAAAGGGTACCAAAATACATACCTCCAAAACTGATAGAACTGAAAGGAGAAATACACAAATTTATAATCCTAGGTGGGAGGCTTCAACACTCCTCTGTCAATACTGAGAGATCAAGGAGGCAGAAAATCAGTAAGTATAAAGATGACCTGAACCACACTATCCATCAACATGATCTGAGTTACAGAATACCCCATCCAAAACAATAAAACACACATTTTATCATTCTATTCTAGCTCATATGTAACATTCACCATGACAGACCATAGTCTTGGCCACAAAACACACCTTAACAAATTTAAAAGAACAGCTATCATACAAAATACATTCTCTGACTACAATGGAATAGAAATCAATAAACAAGAAATAGCTGGGAAATCACTTGAACACTTGAAAATTAAACAACACACTTATAAATAACCTATAGTTCAAAGAGGTCTCGAAAGAAATTTTTAAACATTGTACGTGAAATAAAAATAAAAATACCACTTATCAAAATTTGTGGGATGAACTGAAAGCAGTACATAGAGGGAAATTTATAGCAGTGTATATATTAGAAAAGTTTCCATCTTAGTACACTATAGAAGAAAAGTAAATTAAGCCAAAAGCAAGCAAAATAAAGGAAATATTAGAATATATCAATGAAATTGAAAACATGAAAAAAAAGAAAATTAATGACACCAACAGATGCTTCTTTGAAAAGATCAATAAATTAACAAACTTCCAGAAAACCTAACCAAGAAAAAAGAGAAAAGAAACAAATTGTGAATCTCAGAAATGAAAGGTCAACACTACTGATCCTAAGGACATTAAAATAATGAGAATACTACAAACAATTCTATTCCTGAAAAATTAACTTAGTTGAAATGGATAAATTCCTTAAAAGACACAGCTACCAATTCATACAAGGAGAAATAGATAACCTGAACAGATCTATATCTGTTAAAAACAAAATTGAATTACTAGTCAAATCACTCCCAAAATACAAAGTACTAAGCTCAAATGGTGTCACTAGTGAATTCTACTAAACATTTAAGGAAAAAATACTAATTCTCCACAATCTCCTGCAGTAAATAACACCTCCAAACTCATATTATAGGGCCAACATTACCCTGATTCCAAAACTAGATAAAGACATGAGAAACTAAAGACCAATATCTCCCATCAGCAAAGACACAAAAATCCTCAAATATTGGCAAATCAAATCTGACAATGTATACAATGAATTATAAACCATAACCAAGTGGAATTTATTCCAGGTATGGAAGGCCAGGTCAATGTTAATAATAATAAAAAAAAATCAATACAATCCAGCACATCAATAAGCCAAAGAAGAAAAAGTACATGATCAAATTGATTGATGAAAGAAAAGCATTTGACAAAATCTAACAGCCATTCATGATGAAAATTCTCAGCACACTAGGAATAGGGGGAATTCTCTCAGCTTGATAAAGACCATCCACAAAAACCTTACAGCTAACACCTTATTTAATGTTAAGAGACTGGACACTTTTCCCCTAAGGGCAGGAATAGGGCGAGGATGTCTTATCTCAATACTCCTATTCAACTCTGTACTAGAAGTCCTAGCTAGTGCAGTAAGACCAAAACCAAACCAAACCAAACCAACCCAACCCCAAACCAGAAATAACACATATGTGATTGGCTCTGTATCCTGTTTCATTGATCTATCTATTTTTTGTGCCAGCACCATACTGTTTTGATTACTATAGCTTTGTAGTATATCTGGAAATCTGGGACTGTGATCAATTTGTGAAATAAATCCAGCTTTGTTTTTCTTTCCTAATATTGCTCTGGCTATTCAAAGTAGAACAGAACAGGGACGCCTGGGTGGCTCAGTCGTTGGGCCAACATTACCTCAGGTCATCGAGCCCCGCACTGGGCTCCCTGCTCTGCGGGAAGCCTGCTTCTCCCTCTCCCACTCCCCCTGCTTGTGTTCCCTCTCTCGCTGTGTGTCTTTCTCTGTCAAATAAATAAATAAAATCTTAAAAAAAAAAAAAAAGTAGAACAGAACAGAGAGACCAGAAATAAGCCAACAGTTATATGGTCAGCTAATCTTCAACAAAGGAGGCAAGAATATCCAATGGGAAAAAGACAATCTCTTCAACAAATGGTGTTGGGAAAATTGGACAGCTAGCTACATGCAAAAGAATGAAACCAGACCACTTTCTTACACCATACACAAAAATAAACTCAAAATGGATTAAAGACCTAAATGTGAGACCGGAAACCGTAAAAATCCTAGAAAAGCACACAGGTAGTAACTCATTTGACATCAGCCATAGCAACTTCTTTCTAGATATGTCTCTGAAGAGAAGGGAAACAAAAGCAGAATCAGACTTTGGGACTATACCAAAACAAAAAGCTTCTGCACAGCAAAGGTAACCATCAATAAAACAAAAAGACAACCTACTAATGGGAGAAGATATTTGCAAATGATATATCCGTTAAGGATTTGATATCCAAAATATATAACTCAACACCAAAAAAACCCCAAATAAGCTGATTAAAAACTGGGCAAAGGACCTGAATAAACATTTTTCCAAAGAAGACATTCAGATGACCAAGAGACACATGAAGAGATGCTCAACATCACTAATCACAAGAGAAACTCAAATAAAAACCACAATGAGATATCACCTCACACCTGTCAGAATGGTTAGAATCAAAACAAGAAATTACAAGAGTTGGTGATAATGTGAAGAAAAAGGAACCCTTGTGTACTGATGGTGGGGATGAAAACTGGTTCAGCCATTATGGAAAACAGTGTGGAGGTTCCTCAAAAAATTAAAAATAGAACTATCCTATGATCCAGTAATTCCACTACCAGGTATTTACCCAAAGAAAAGGAAAACACTGATTGGAAAAGGTATTTATATTGCAGCACTATTTACAGTAGGCAAGATGGATAAAGAAGATGTGGGGTGTGTGTGTGTGTGTGTGTGTGTGTGTGTGTGTGTGTGTGTAATGGAATATTACTCAGCTGGAGAAAAGAATGAAATCTTGACAATGCCAACAACATAGATGGATCTAGAGGGTATAGTACTAAGTGAAATAAGTCAGACAAAGACAAATATCATATGATTTCACTCATAAGTGCAATTTAAGAAACAAAACAAACAAAGCAAAAAAGAAACAACAACAACAAAAAAAGAGACTCCCAAACATAGAGAACAAACTGGTGATTATCAGAGGGAGGGTGGGTGGGAGGAGGGGATGAGACAATTGGGTGTATCACTGAAAAGGAAAAACAAACTCTCTTTATTTGAAGTCAATATTATTGTCTATGTAGAAAATCTCAAGCAACTTACAAAAAGAAAGAAAAAAATCTACTGGAAGTAATAAGGAAATATCAAAACATCACAGCATACAAGATCAATAAAAAAAGTCAACTGTTTTCCTGTATCTGAAAATACCACTTACAATTGCACCCCCAAAAAAGGTACTCAAGTATAAAATCTAACACAATATGTATATATAGAAAAACACACCAATCGATGGAAGAAATCAAAGATCTAAAGAAATGGAGAGATAGTCCATATTCATCAATAGGAAGACTCAATATGCCTAAGATGTCAATTCTTTCCAACTTAATCTATAAATTCAACACAATCCAAATAAAACCCCCAGCTATTTTGCAGATACTGACAAAATGATTCTGAAGTTTATATAGAAAGACAAAGGATCTAGAATAGCCAACACAATGTGGAAGAAAAATGAGAATTCACATTGCCTGATCTTAAGAGTTACTATAAAGCGGGCGCCGGGGTGGCTCAGATGGTTAAGCGTCTGCCTTCGGCTCAGGTCATGATCCCAGGGTCCTGGGATCGAGTCCCGCATCGGGCTCCCTGCTCCTTCAGAGCCTGCTTCTCCCTCTGCTTCTCTCTCTCTCCCCCCCTCTCTCTCTCCTCCTCTGTCTCTCATGAATAAATAAAATCTTTAAAAAAAAAAAAAAAGAGTTACTACAAAGCTACCAGTAACCAAGACAGTGTGTTAGTGCTGAGAGAGACACATAGATCAACAGAACAGAACAGAGGGTCCAGGAATAGATCTACCAAAACAGAGGCAAATGTTTTTTGACAAAGACATAAAGGCAATAAAAGGAGAGAAGAGAGGCTTTCAACAAATGGTGCTTGAACAACTGGACACTCATGCAAAAGAAATCAACCTAGACACAGACCTTACACAAGGAATAACTAAAAATGAATATGAGGTCTAAATGTAAAATGCAAAACCTTAAACCTTCTAGAAGAAAATACAGAACAAAGAATATAGGAGAAAAATCTCTGTGACCCTAGATTTGGTAATGAGTTTTTAGATACAACAGAAAAAGCATATTCCATGGGGGTGGGGGGAAGCACAGGTTGAATATTATTAAAAATAAAATCTTCTGCTCTGTTAAAGACATTTCTAAGAAAATCAAAGACAAGGCACAGACTGGAAGAAAATATCTGCAACATATATATCTAATGAAGGATTTGCATCCAAAAACTACAAAAGAACTCTTAAAGCTTCAAAAGAAGAAAACAAATGACCCAATTGAAAAATGGGCAAAAGATCTGAACAAACATTTCACCAAAGATATAAGGATAACAAATATATATATGAACAGATGCTCAACATCACCTATTAGTGGGAAAATGCAGACAACATGACATATTTATTAGAATGTGTTAAATTAAAATTTAAAGCCAAAATTATGACAATACCAATTTCAGGTCCAGAATCAGAACAACAAAGATTCTGATTTGTAGTTGGTAGGAACACATATTGATACAGCACCTTTGAAAAAAAGTTTGGCAATTTCTTGCAAAGCTATACATACATACATACATACATACATACAAAACTGACCCAGCAATTTCACACCCTATGTGTTTGAAAACTTATGTCTGCTTAAAAACCTACACATGCGCACCTTAATTCATAATGGCCCCAAACTGGAAGAATCAAGAGTCCATGGGTTAACAACTCTGAAATCATGTATGTGCATTCTGGAATTGAACTATTAAGTAAATGAAATTCAGACGACGTTAGCTGGATTCTCATCGTTAGAGTGGAGATTACAGACAAACAAGGAGAGAAGGTTACAATGTTCCATGTGGTAATGATTACAACAGGAGACAACAGTGTGAACTAAAACTTAGCTTAATATATAGATGGTTACATACTGAAATATTTATAGACACCTGTATATACGTGAGAAAGTATACACGTATATTTCCTCTTTCAGTTAGCTGAGTGGGTCTGTGAGCAATGACACACCAGTAGCAACAGACACACCTAGTCCCCCAATCTTGATTTCTCATACTATGCTCCAATGAAAAGAACCAGAGCTATTTAGAAAGAAAAAAAAAAAAGGCTAATTCCAGGGCAGGAAAGACGTAAGATGAACCTGGAAAACCTACTAACAGGGAGGAAGGAAGAAGTATTCAAACAATAACGGGGTGTGTCAAAAGACACAGGAACCAACAGAAGGTACTTTTTAAACATTTTCTTATTTTTGAGAGAGAAGGAGAGGGAAACACAGCATGAGCAGGGGGAGGAGCAGAGGGAGAGAGAGAGAATTTCAAGCAGGCTCCACGCTCAGCAGAGAGACCAGGACCCTGAGATCATGACCTGAGCCGAAATCAAGAGTCAGACACTCAACCGACTCAGCCACTCACGCGCCCTTAGAAGAGGCTTTTAATAACCAACCTGAAATAACTTGAGCAATGAAAGAAAACAAGGGAGCATTGTACTATAACCAAAATATAAAATAACTATCCATGAATTCATGCTGATATAAATAAATGGGTTAGTAAATAGGAGAGAACAGAAAAATCTCCTATGAAGAATTCCTGATAATTTATGTAGATACTCCAGCAGGAAGGAGGTATCAGGTAACTCCCCACTTCTTTCCAAAGAGTACAGTATGAAAACAGAGGAAACAAAGAGTAGCTTTACTGCTACTCGCGACCACATTACTTCAGCTAAGCGATCAACAGTGATACATCACCGTAGTAAGTCATGTTGACAACACTTACCCTTGATATGATGTCACCAAATGACATTATATCTCTGTGGTCTTCCTCCAAGAAGCCCATAACCTCAGTCTTACCATGAAAACAACAGCAGACAATTCCCAACTGAGGGACATCCTACAAAACACCTGAATGTACTCCTCAAAACTGCCAAGGTTATCAAAAACAAGGAAAGTCTGAGAAATTGTCACAGCCAAGGGGAGCTTAAGGAAACGACTAAGTGAAACATGGTATCCTGAAAGAGAAACCTGCATGGGGGAGAAAACACCAGGGTCAATTAGCAAAATACAAATTATATACCATAAAATAATAGTTTGCAACCCATGTAACAGACAAACATTAGTATGCCTAATATATAAAGAGCTAAACACTGAAGAATAAAAAAAAAAAAAGCCAGAAACCTAAGAGCAAAATGGGCAAAAGATATGAACAGAGGATTCACAGAAACGTAAATACATCTTTCAGATACATGAAAAAGAAATTCAACCTCACTCATAGTTTAAAAAATTGCAAATACAAACTTCATAAAATACCACTTTTTATCTATCCATTGCCAAAATTCCAAAAGTTGAACCACATGTTCTATGGAAGAAGCTGTGGACAAAACAGCACTCACTCGGTGTCAAAGGGAGCGACACAAAATGATACCATAATCCCAACTGATCAAGTGTATCAATTATATTCACACTTTGACCTGGCAATGCACTTCTGGGAATTTATCTGAGAGAAAAAACCTATATGTACAAGGTCATTCATTAGAACATGGTTTGTAGTGGCAAAAGGTTTGAAATAGCTCATAAGTAATAATCACCAGTTTAATAAACAATGGAACATCCATGCTTGAATTACTGTGCGGTTATAACAAAGAAAGAAGCAATCCATGTTCTGTTAACAGAAAGATGTTTGGGACAGGCTGAAAAAAGTGAAAAAAAGCAAAGAAAAAATGGAAAATCATGTAGAGACTCGCTACTCAAAGTGTGGTTCCCTGAGCAGCAGAGTCAGCTTCACCTGGGAGCTTTTTAGAAATGCAAAACCCAGGGCCCTACCAGATCCACTAAATCAAAATCTGCATTTTAACAGGATGCCAGTGAGGTACAGGTGCATCTAAGTTTGAAAAGCCCTAAGGATGATGGATTCCCTTCTAAATAAAAGTACGGGGCATACAAGAATATCTTTTAACTGAAAAAAGAAACACTGGGAGGACAAACAAGAAAGACAGGTATCTACAGTAGGATGACCATATATTCCAGTTTGTCTGGGACTGTCCCAATATATGCCAGTTGTTCCATCATAACGTTATAGAACCTCTTTCATTCTCAGTGGAAGTGTCTCCATTTAGATGAGAAATAAATGTCACCATTCCTAGAGGGAACATCACTTAACCTTTTAACCATGTTAATATATTACTAATTCAAAATATTTTATTTAAAAAAAAGAAAGACAAAACCAGTCAGGAAAAAAGACAGACTGAAAAAAGCAGTGAGCCAACGATGGGTAAGCAATAAACCCAAGGAGAGGCAACGTCCGGGGCAAAAGGGAAAGACAACTTCATGAGGAACAGGAAGGGAATGTATCAGAGTTAAGAAAGGAGAGCTAGGAGGGATGTCAGAGACAACAGAGACTGAGGACTATGCCATAGGAATGTCAAGTAAGACAAAGACAAAAACTGGATTTGACTACAATTTGGTGGCCTTTTCCAGAAATGCTTCAGGTGAGTGGTGGTGGTGAAGGAGCAAGAATGCATTCATGAGGTTGAAATGCAAATGAGAAATGCAGAGACCAAAACCAGAAGAGTCTGCTACTCAAGCTAGAAATACAAACAAGCTGACGCAAACACTTATGGAGAGTTATCTGGAGGATGTCTGGTCCCTCCATTCTGCCAGATCTTCAAAGTCGTATTCCTGGATTAAGCAGGACCATGAGAGAGCTGTCTACTCAAACCTCATTTTTGGTCCTCTGAAAAGCATCCACACATCTTTGGCATGGTGCTGTGTCTATCAGATGATTACAGGCAATTTCAGTGTTTTGATTAGAAAGATCAGAGAAAATTTCACAACTTGCACAACTCTGTAAAATTAAGAGTCCTACATCTAATTCTACCAACTCTTTGAATTTGCTACTCTCAACATATTTCCCTTCAAGTAATTCTTGCATAGTTTTCTTTTCTCATTGTAAAAATATGAATCCTTACAAACTTTAGAAAACTCATTTTAAAACAAAGTGGGAATAAACAAACAAAAAGCTCACCTGGGATCTGTTCATTTTCCGCTCTTAGTGAAGGAGGGAGAGCTGAGGAAGAAGGAAGGAAGAAGGAAGTTAGGAGAGACTTGGCCTGCCTTGCAGTTCCTGGATTTACCTGCCTACACAGCTCCACATACAAGATACTTACGTGTCCATGTGTGGCTCCGATATATGTTGAGCTTAGACATGATACTTTTCACTGAGTGAATGTAAACATTTGTTTCTTATTGATTTATTACCAATTTAGGTTCTGTGACACAGAAAAATTAAAAACATGAGAAGATGAGTTTAACATTTAACAGTAACCTAAAGGAGGAAACACTATGGATTTGTCAGAACTGATGTGGTAGGGAAAAATTAAAAATCTCAAGCCACATTGTTAATCTGTTTTCCTCTTAACACTGAATCCCTTGAGGTCAGATAATCCAAGAAACCTCTGAAAAAAAGAGATGGGGGTGTTTAAGGCAAGATAAAAAAAAAAAGTTTAGTTTGTTCTAACCTTCTTACAACTTTCAAGTCTTTGACTTAACAGCGCAAAATGGGCAGTGGCTCGGGAATTTGCAGACCTGACTTTTAACCATGGTTCTGCAACTAACAAACTGCATGATCTTGGTCAGTCACCTTCTCAGACTCAAAATCTTTTTTTCATTTTTCAAATAAGGTCAAAACAGATAACCTGTTGCCTGCACTACCATCCTGTGCGTCTATAGAGCCAGGAGAGCGGGAACCTCAGCATCTTTCTAGATGCCATTCTCAGCATCTTTCTAGATGCCATCAACAATGGGAAATACTGAACGGAAAATGAGGGAAGTAGGGGGTGTTTGGGGAGGGTGAGAACAGAATTTCCTTCGCTATGGCTGGTGAGCCTTTCATTCCCAACCATGCCCTCACAAACTCTCCAAAGAGGTGACATTTCCTGTGTAACCTGCGTGCCCACCCCTCTCAGCTCCAGCTCACCTCGCTCTTCTTAAATTTGTCCCAGACCTTCCACCGTCACACAGCCTTCGATGGCTTCAGGATACTGTCATGCTTATACATAACAAATAACAAATGAATACATAATAAATAATAACTGGGGACCTGGGGAATGTTAGAGCCAGGAAAGGGCCTTGGTGGCTAGCTAGTCCAGCCTCTATCCTCTTCCATTGCACAAATGAGTTAACTGAGCAATGAAGGCCCTAGAGACTTGTCCAAGCTCCAGCCGCATGTATTACATAAATAACAAACAAATAGCTAGCAAAATGTGAGTGCTCAGAACAATGCCATGCGGCAAGTATTACTGACATCCACACTTTACAGATAAGGAGACCGAGCCTCATGTCGACTATTCGATCAGAGCAATTCATTCACATCTGACGCCCTGCCAGCTTCTCCTACAACCGCGCCCCTCCTAGTAAGCCCGGCGCACATACGACGCACGCACACACGTCAAAACGCCAGGCGCGCACGCACGTCGCGCACGCGCACTCACTCCTTCCCGGAGCCCCACCCCCTCCCTGTGGGCCCAGCGCACACGTCACGCACGCGCACTCCCCACCCGCGGCCGCACGACGGCGCAGCCAGCTTAGCGCTGGGGCTGGACACCTGCGGGCCTTTCGAGCCCGCGAGCCCACGTTCCCACGCGGGACCCTGGTCCCTTAGAGATGCCCCGCCCGCCGTCCCTTCAACTCTGCAAGCGCCGCTGACTCCTGGGGTCGCTCCGGTGTCCGCGGAGCTCCTACCCACCCCCCGGCCCCGCCGCCCCAGCCGGACCCCCGAGCCGCGCAGGGCCCCCTCGGCCCACGCCCCCACCCCCCGGGGCTCACCCGCAGCTTCCTCGCCGCGTGGACCCGGAAGCCAGGGAAGGTTTCCCACGAGGGGCTGGAGGCCGGGGAAGGACGAGCCGGGAGGAGAAGGCGGGGATGCACATGCGCAGAGGGAGAGAGCGGCACGGCGCGGCGGCTGCGGGTAGCTGGAGCTCCGCTCCTGGCCGCTTGGGCTGGGAAAGTGCCTCTACCCTTAGAAGGGATCCCTCACCCCTTGGTCGTAAAAAGTAAGCTAATAGTACCGAGCTAGCAGGGTTTTAGTGAAGAGGCCTTTAGGACGTAGATCTAGCACGTAAATTGTTCAATACCTCTCTCGAGATTGTCTTTCCCCGGTATACACCATACCCATTTCTTGAGAAATCAGCTGGAGAGTTTCTGCCGACTTTGCCGAGTTGAGAGATTACTAGCTGAGATACTCAAGCCTGCTGCGTAGAGCCAGGCTTCTTTCTGTCCTTGCTCCTCGACCTGTGCATCAAAGCAGTGCCTCTTTTAGACACAAGCCGAGAGAAGGAAAGCTGTGCTTGAATTTCATTTATGTACGTGGTATCTGTGACCAGCGTGGTTATTCTCGAATGAGAGAAGCAGCGAGCTAGCAATTCGGTATTAATACTAAAAACCGTTCATGTGTAAAAAACTGTTCGTGTACCAAACTTGAAGAAAGCACGCTCTCCCGCAACCTCCCATTTACACTACCGCAACTTCCCCCAATATTATTAACATTTTACAGAGCCATGGTACTTTTATCAAAACTAGGAAAGTAACTCGGGTGCAATTCTATTAACTAATTACACAGTTTATTCAGATTTCCACTAACGTCCTTTTACTGATCCAGGATCCCATCCAGATACCACAGTACATTTAATCATCCTGTCTGCTCCAATCTGTAAGAGTTTTTTCGTCTTTCCTTGTCTTTCATGACCTTCACATGGTTGAAGAATAGTCAGGTATTGTGAAGAATGTCCCTGAATTTACGTTTGTCTAATGTTTTCTCCTTATTGGACTGAGGTTATAAATCTTTAGGAAGAATCCCTTGGGAGGGTGTGCCCTACCTATGTATCAGGTGACACATGATATCAACTATCATACTAACCTTTATTACTTGGTTAAGATGGTATCTGACAGGTTTCTCCACTATATAGATAGGATTTTTCCATTTCCAGTGTGCACTTAAGAGTGGGTTGCTAAGTCCAATGCACACTCAGGGGACAGAGGAAATTAGCTCCATTTGGAATTTGTGGTCATATTTTAAAATCACCACGTGTATTAATTTGAGAGGAGACCCTCTGAGGCTACCCAAGTATACTGTTTCTATTTAGAGTTTTGGCCACTAATTTTAACTTTCATTGCTGGATCTTGCCTGCAACCACTTTTACTGTGGTGTTCTAAATGGTGATTCTTCTGTTTTACTTCTGTATTTATTGGAATTCTTAAGGAAAGATTTTCATTTTCCCCATTTATTTATTCCATCACGTATTTATGTGAGTACGGGCTCATAGATAATCTATTTTTTTCTCCTCCATTGTTACTCAACCCATCTTTCTCACCCAACGCTTCCATCTGTTTTATGTTTTACATCTTTATCCTTTTCAGAAATATGTATCTCCTGAGTTTGGCTTTTTTCACTTAGCAAAATTCATTTAAGCCTCATTGGTGTTGTTGCTCCTTTTCTCAAATCAGCTCCTTTCTCCCCACTTTTTTCATTTCATCCAAAGCTATTATGTTACTATGTTGCTCAGATTGTTCCAGCTTGGGCATTGAGAGCTATCACAGGTTAGCTTTTGGGTCCTTTTAACAAATCCTTATCATTGTTTCTAAATTACTTCCTTACTTTTTGACATACAAGGTGCTCCAGGCTCCTTGTATTTTCTGTGTCATGAGATCAAGCCCCGCATCAGGCTCTGCACTCAGTGTGGAGCCTCCTTAAGTTTCTCTCTCCCCCTCTCCCTCTGTTTATTTGGATGGTAGTGTTGTTTATGTTGAAATCCTTACTGATTTTCTTTCCGCTGAAAAAAATGTCGATGTCTCCAATTAGGGATTGGATTTGCCTCCTGTATTTTGAAGCTCTGTTGTTAGATGCATACACATTTAGAATTGTTATGCTTTCTTGGATAATTGGTCTCATTTACATTGTGTAACGTTGCACTTCATCCTGGATTATATTCCTTGTGGTGACATCAGTTTATCTAGTATTCATATAGTTTTTTTTCAGTTTTGTTTTGGTTAGCGATTGCATGGTATATCTCCATTCTTTTCTCTAAACCTATGTTTGTATTCAGATGTAGTGTGGGTTTCTTAAGAGAATAACCTTAAATATTTCTTTAAGCACTTTATAGGTGGCATTTTATTTTTTTCTGCTTAGTTTCTCGTGAGAATGCTTCTGAAAGCTGCTGAAAGTGTTTGGATATTATTTGCTTTTCTGTGAACATCTCCGTGTGAGCATTTATTCATAGTAATCTTTTTGACGACTATTGTACACGGTGTCAATGTACATTCATAACATTGCATGAGCAACCATCACAACTGTTTTCAACATGAGTCAAGACCTAAATAAAAACATTATTGTTGAAATAAAAACATTATTGTTGAGAAGAGTATTTGTAAATACATTCATGTGAATCAAGAACAGCATCACCTTGGCCCTAGTGCTCCTCCATTTGCTTTAAGTGGGAAAACTTGTGTGGGCCCTGAGGCCTATAGGGTCTTCTTGGGGTTGAGGAGTCTCTGAGTTTCTAAAACCCCTGAGGGCCTAAAATCTTGTGGACTGGGGGTGTGAGAGTATATTAAAAAATCCCCCCATTGATTTGGTAGGGCCAGTAATGCTCTGTGAGTGCTAGGGACCTAGCAGCCATGGGGGAAGCAGCAGTGACTTATGCTCATTTGAGCATATACCGCATTCCTAAAGACCGTATATACCTTCTGAGGATGTTGTCTTCCAGTTGGCAACATAATTGAATCTTCAGTAAACCATTCCACTTTTCAGTTAGACCAGCTGTTTCAGAGTGATAAAGTACTTGGTATGACCAGTTAATTCAATGGGCATGAGCTTAATGCTACACTTCCTTTGTTGTGAAATGAATTTCTTGACCAGAGGCAGTGCTATGGGGAATACTACTATAGTGAATAAGGCATTCTTTGAGACCACAACTAGTGGTGCTGGCAGGAGCATTGCAGATGGGAAAGACAAATCCATATCCAGAATATGTATCTGTTCCAATAAGAATGAATCTCTGCCCCTTCCATGATGGAAGAGGTCAAATATAATCATCCTGCCAGGAGGTGGCTTATTGGTTCTCCCAGATAATGTTGGCATATCAGGACTTGGGGTTGATCTCTCTTCTTGATAACTGATTTGACACTTAGTAGTAGCATTATCTAAGTCAGCCTTGGTTAGGGGAAGTCCATGTTGCTGAGCCCATGTATAATGTCCATCTCTGTTACCATGACCACTTTACTCAGGGGCTAATTGGGGCCATGATCACTCTGGTAGATGGGGAAAGAGTCTTGCTAACATTCACAGAGCATACTATTTTGTCCACCTGATCAAAAGTGCCTTCTATAATAGATGCCCTTTGGTGGACATTAGCCATTAAGTTACAAACTGAAGGGTATGAGATTCTCATTTTACTTGCAAGCTAACAAGTTAGCCTGCTATTTAGATAAAACTGTGACTGGCTAAATTATTAGCTTTAAGAAAGGTAAAATCACAAATACACACTTGCACACAAATACAGAAAACACAAGGTCTTTGGGTCAGAGATAAAGACAGTTTATTACTGTCAGCAAAAGCACCAGCCAGAGTGGCTTCATAGCACTGATTCTCTGACCTATAGTACCCATGGGGCAACACAGTGAAGGCCAGTTGGTGCCTATACATGCAATGGAGAAATCCTGAAATTAAACACTGACTTTATGTAGAATTGCCGGTGACTTTTAGCCTGTGGATATAGTGGATTACATTGATTGATTTTTTTTTTTTTTTTTTTGATGTTGAACCAGCTTTGTCACCAGGAATAAATTCTACTTGGTCATGGTGTATTTTATGGATAGATAGATATCTTATCCATATCTATATATAGTTGGATTCAGTTTGCTAGTATTTTGTTGAGGATTGTTGCATCTAAGTTCATGAGGAATATTGGCCTGTAGTTTTATTTTTGTACTTCTTGGTTGATACTGGTATCAGGGTAATATATGTCTCATGAAATTAGCTGGGGAGCGTTTCCTCCTCTTCTATTTTCTGAACAAGATTGTGTAAAATTGAATGAATTCTTTAAATGTTTGGTGGAATTCTCCAGTGAAATCATCTGGGCCTTGCATTTTCTCTTTTAGGAGATTTTTAAGTACAAATCCAGTTTTTAAAATGGTTGTAGGACTATTCAGATTGTCTGTTTCATTTTGGTTGAGTTTCGGAAGTTTGTGATTTTCAAAAAATTCATTTCTTCTAAGTTGTTGAATTTATGAATATAAAGTTCACTGTATTCCTGTAATATCATGTAGTGATAGTTTCTTTAATTGCATCGATGATTTATCTAGCAATAAAGAACATGTTCATTTTGAAGTGTGATACAAAGAAGCTTCTAGAAAGTTTTTTAGTACTTACACAAAAATTTGGTAGAAATAACCAGTTGCCCAAATTCACATCAAATCTGGATATCTCCTAGTATTTACACTTTTCATATAATTTTTTAAATGTTTGCCAATCTCATCATGTCATAACAATATATTATGTGATATTTTAAATATTTACATTTTGTTATTTCTCAGAATATACTTTAATATACAATAATTGGATTGCTCTTTTTTATTGTGTTTTAGTAACACTTTGTATGGTTTAGATGCAAATTCTCTTTTTTTGGCAAATTCTTTATCAGATATGTGTTTAGCAAATATTTTCTTCTCTTCTGTTGTCTTTTCATTTGCTTAGCACTCTCTTCCACAGAGTAGATGTTTTTGATGTTAATAAAGTCCCACTTGCCCATTTTTTTTGTTTCATGGATGATACTTTTGTGTTGTGTATAAAAATATATCACCAAAATCTCTTAGATTTTCACCTTTTTCTTATAGAAGGTTTTTAGTTGGAGGTTTTACATTTAGGTCTATGGTCCGCTTTGAGTTAATTTTTGTGAAAAGTGTAAGTTTTATGTCTAGATTCATTTCTTTTGCATATGTGTGACCTATTGTTCCAGCATTATTTGTTGAAAAACTATCTTTTCTCCATTAAATTAATTGCCTTTGCTCTTTTGCCAAAATCATCAGTTGACTGTATTTGTGTTGGTTTCTATTCTGTTCTATTCATTTTTGTCTTTATTTGCCAATACATGCTGTCAAAAATGAATTGGCCATGGAGGTATGTGGTTATTTCTGGACCTTCAATTCTATTCATTATTCTTTTTTTTATATTATTTTATTTATTTGAAAGAGAGAGCACATGAGAGGTGGGAAGGTCAGAGGGAGAAGCAGACTCCCTGCCGAGCAGGGAGCCCGATGTGGGACTCGATCCTAGCACTCCAGCATCATGACCTGAGCCGAAGGCAGCCGCCCAACCAAGTGAGCCACCAGCGCGCCCTCTATTCATTATTCTGTAGGTGTATCCTTAAAGCAGCACCACACTGTTCTCTTTTATGTAGCTGTGTAGTAGGTTTAGAAACCATGTGGTGTGAGTCATTCAACTTTGTTTTCAACATTGCTTTGGCTATTTGAGATGCTTCATATTTCCTTACGAATTTGAGGATTGGTTTTTTCATTTCTTCAAAATGGCTGTTGGAATTTTGATGGATAGTGCATTGAATCTGTAGATTGAGTAATATTGCCATCTTAACAACATTATGTCTTCCATGGCATGAACATGGAATGTCTTTCCATTTATTTCAGTCTACTTCAATTCTTTCAGCAATGTTTTACAGATTTCAGTGTATAATTTCTTTATCTCCTTCTTAAGATTATTCCTAGGTATTTTATTCTTTTGTATGCCTTTGGAAATGGAATTTCCTAATTTCCTTTTCAGATTATTCATTGCTGCTGTATAGAAACACAAGTGATTTTTCAGTATTGATCTTGTATCTTAAACCTTAACCTAATTCATATATCATGGCTAGTAGAGAGAGAGAGAGAGTGTGTGTGTGTGTGTGTGTGTGTGTGTGTGTGTGTGTGTGTGTTTGCTAGTATTTTGTTGAGGATTTTATAACTATACTGATAATTTTCACCTGTAGTTTTTCTTTTTGATGTCTTTGTTTTGAATACGGAGAATGCTGGCATCATAGAACGAGTGAAGTGTTCTCTCCTTCATTATTTTGTGGGAGAGTTGGGAAAGGATTGATGTTAAGTATTCTTTTAAATATTTGGTTGCATTCACTAGTAAAGCCATCTGATAGTAGGCTCTTCTTTGTTGGGGTTATTCATTTCTCATTCAATTTCTATTTGTTATGAATCTGTTGAGGTTTTCTATTTCTTCTTCAGTTTTGGTAATTTATGTGTTTCTTGGTATGAACATTGTTTTATACTTAATCATTGGTGCATTTATCTTTTACCTTACACGAGAAACAGAGGAGTTACTAAAAAAATACATGATACTGTTTTTTTTACATTTACCTATGTAGTTATCTTTACTGGTATTCTTTATTTCTTAATATGGCTTCAAGTTACTATCTAATGTCTAATGCCTTCCTTTTCATGCTAAAGGATGCCTTTTAGAATTTTTTTATAGGTCAGGTTCACACTGACTTACCTTGACTAAACTTTGGTCAGGCTTTGCTTCCTTTCACAAGCTCCTGAATTTTGTTTTGTCCCCAGGTCTGAGCAAGCACCCTGAACAGCTCCACTGACCACAGTGGGAACATTTCACATCAGACTACCCCATCATGCATTTTGTTCACCTCCCCCACTCACTTGCCTAGTTTCCTCTCAAAAGTACCTGCTGACCCATCTTACTCCTCCCTCTAAAAGAAAAGTCTTTTTAAAGTTTATTTAGTTATTTAAGTAATCTCTACACCCAACATCGGGCTCAAACTCACAACCCTGAGATCAAGAGTCACAAACTCCCCCAAATGAGCAAGCCAGGCGCCCCAGAGAAGCCTTTTTCTATTTGATTTTGAGATGCTTTCAGATCCTGAAATCAGAGCCTTGTTCCGATTGCAAGTCTTTCTGAAAAAAGTTTCTCCTTACCTAAGTCTGGATTTATTTTTATTTGACATTTGAAAGTCCTAGTTGCTTATCTTCTTCGCTGCTGAGATGCTATTATTTTATCTATTGTTTACTTTGAAACTGTATTATTTTTATTTTATTGCTAGCGTTTCCTAGTATCTAATTCGTTTTGCTTTCTAGTATATACGTAAGGTACCCTACTTATATTCATAACGCACATTGATTTACATTTTTGCCTCCTTTGGTCGCTTGGCGTTCAAAAAGGCACACTGGTTGTGAGACTATTTCTTTGAGGTACTGAAAAAATTCAGGGCTGCCTACAGAAGCGACAACCCCATGCCACAATCTGAATTGGTAAAGAAACAACGTTTCCGAAATTCTCGGAAGTCCTGGGCGAGCAGGCTTATGGGATCTGAAGTCCGGAAGTTTGTGAGCCCGCCGCACGTGGTCAAGGGAGCTGGTCTTCTGCGGCTCCTCCTGCGCATGCGCAGTACCTCGCAGGCGCTCCTAGGTCTTCCGGCCTACTGTGGGAGACGGTCCGGAACGTTCAGGACTCTGGAGGTCTGCATGCCGCTTTGGGAGTTTGGCGCGGCCCGAGTGGGAGGGTGGGCGAGACCAGAGGGTTGGGAAGATACGAGAGGGTCCCTGCGGGGGTCCAGGAAGCGGGCGGGGGCGGCGATGCCTGGCAGTAGGGAAGAGGCTCGCGGACCCCGGCGGGACCCTCGGCTAGTCTACCCGAGAGATTGGGTACGAGGAGGCGTCGGCCGGGTGGAGGGACCACGGGACCGGAGAATCTCTATTGGGAGGAATCGGCTTGGGAGGCAGGGAGGCGGGGACTCGGCCCCCGGGGGAGGATGCGGACTCCGCGTGGATCCCGCGCCGGGGTTTGTGCGGCCGCGGGAGGAGCGCGCGTTGCGCATGCGCGGTGGGTGCGCTCGGTCGTAGAGCGGCCGGAGTTGAGCGGGTGCTTTGATTTCTGTGGGGCTGAACAGTGTATAAAAGTATCCTCTGGGAACGTTAACCTACGTGAGGCTTTACGTCTGTAAAACTGACGATATTAATAACACCTGCCTCATGGGGTTGTTTAGAGGATTAAATTCTGTAGCTCAGTGCCTAGCAGTAAATATTAGCCGCTGTTGTTAGACTATTTCTTATCACTGGTTACTTTATGCTCACAACCTCTCACTTAGGTCGGTATAGCTCTCTCTGCTGTAACAAATTAGAAAACCGAGATGGAGAGGAATGTTATACCCTGTGTCACAACACTAGCAGATAAACTAGAAGGCAATTTTATTTTATTATATTTTTCAATTTTATTTTTTAAAGATTTTATTTATTTGAGAGATGAGGGAGGGCGCATGAACGGGGTGAGGGGCAGAGGGAGAGGGAGAATCAGACTCCCCGCTGAGTAGGGAGCCCTACCTAAGGACTCGATTCCAGCACCGCAAGATCATGACCTGAACTGAAGGCAGCCCGTAACCGACTGAGCCAGCCAGGCGCCCCATCAGAAGACAGTTTTGTTTATCTTTTTAATTTTTATTTTTTAAATTTTATTTATTTATTGGACAGAGAGATAGAGCCAGAGAGCACAAGCGGAGGGAATGGCAGGGGGAGAGGGAGAAGCAGGCTCTGCACCGAGCAGGGAGCCTGATGCAGCTTTGGATTCCAGGCCCCTGAGATCATGACCTGAGCCTAAGGCAGATGCTTAACCATCTGAGCCACCCAGGCGCCCCAAGGCAATTTTAGTTGTTTCTCCAAATGTCATGTTCTTTGCAGCTTGGTGTCTTGGGCACAGTACTTAGCGGAAATAATTCGGCATGTGAATTATCATGTGAATGATCGGCATTTGAACGATTGAATCTTAACCATGTAGTATTTTTTTTTCTGGGATTTCTAGATGTCTTTAGAGCCTTTGATAGAGACAGTATAATTGTATCTGAGTTAGGTTTGTAACAGTTCTCAGCAGCCTTGGTTTGAGTTTATGGAAGGTCTGACCTGAGAGTCTATGGAATATTGAACTGTGGGCCTGGGTGACAATTCCAGTAAAAATGAATTTGCCCCTCAGGCACATTTTTCATCTACGTTAGAAAAGCAAAGTAAGAAGGAGGAGTCTCTAAATACATAATGTTAGGTGGAGAGAACCATCCCACTATTTGAGGGTTTGTTTTTTTTTTTTCTTTCTTTCTTTTTAAAGTAGGCTCAGTGCGGGGCTTCAGCTCGTGACCCTGAGATCAAGACCTGAGTTGAGATTGAGTTGGTCGCTTAACCGACCGAACCCCCCAGGCACCTCTTGAGTGAATTTTGAGCAGAGGCAGTGTATTTCCCAGAGAGGAGCAGATCCTAGGTTTTCACAGCCTGTTCAGAACGAATGAGATTTGAAAATGTTGCCACATTCAGAAGCTCCGAGGCTGCCTAATGGAGGGAAGCCGGGACCAGGGCAGCTGGGCGGGAGGGAGTGAAGGACGGGTAGGTGACGTGGAAAATAGAACTTCACTGGAGGCATTCCAGGGATTGTGGGAAAGGGCCTTAAAAGTAGATGTGAGGCAGTTTTGTCTCAACAATCCCAGTTCAGCCCCCACTCTTTATTTTTCGCTTTTCCCAGATTCTGAGCTCTTCTCACACAGTGAATCTGGCATTTTAAAAGATGTGCTGATGAGTTCTTTATAGGACAGCAATACAAGAAGAGTTGTTTATTTTTCTTCTTGAAAGTTGAGGAGAAATTGGTGCTGAGAGTGTAAGTGAATTTCTCTGGCTTTGTGTTGGGGCAGAACCCAGAGGAAGTGTTGAGTCTCCCACCCCAGTCCATGCTGACCACATCATCACTGGTAAAACACATTCCTTAAAAGACAGCCATTTGAGAATCTGCACATGCTTTAAAAAAAAACAATTAAAAAGGGGCGCCTGGGTGGCTCTGTCATTAAGCATCTGCCTTCGGCTCAGGTCATGATCCCAGGGTCCTGGGATCGAGCCCCACATTGGGCTCCCTGTTCGGCGGGGAGCCTGCTTCTCCCTCTCCCACTCCCCCTGCATGTGTTTCCTCTCACCGGCTCTCTCTCTCTCTGTCAAATAAATAAATAAATAATCTTTAAAATAAAATGAGAAAAAACAATTAAAAAGTACCGTTACCTGAAAGTGCCTCCATCCTTTTTTTGGTAGCTTTGGTTGTGTTCTCTAACTTGAGAAGTAAACAAGGAAATGTACATGTAACAACTTTTGTTGTACAACCTCTGCTGAAGGTTTAGTGTTCCTTCATTTAACGTATTGTAATTTGCTTAACCAATTTTCTCATTTTTAAAATTACTTCGAAACAGAACAGAGGGGTACAGACTTTGTTTAAAAATGTCCTAGACAACAGTTCCATACACCCAGTGAAAAATTGCACACCCTAGCTCTGCATGGCCAAATCATAGTCATACGTGGTCATGTGGGTGCTTTATCATGTGTTATTTCCTGCCCCTTCTGCAAGGCGAAAAGGGGCAGGAGGCAGAGAGGCATTTCACCCAGGTGATGTTTGCAGCTTTTTAAGAAGGCAAGTCCAGGAACTGCAAGACAGTCTGTACCTCTAATGACTTCATTCCTCTTTTTCTATCCCAGCTCTGCCTTCAGAAATTTCTACAGTTTTCCAAGAGAGACCAGCAAAATATGAACAAATCCTATGTGAGTTGTTGAAGTCATTTTCTGCTTTGTTTTACAATGGATCTTATGAGGATAATGATTCATATTTGAAGTAGGAAAGTAGAAATAGATAAAATGAACCTGATGGGAACAGCATGACACAGTGGTTCTCAAATTTTAGTGTGTATCAGATCAAAACTGGGAAGTGTTTTAAACCATAGGATGGGGCCTGAGAATTTTCATTTTGAACAAGGTTGCAGGTGATACTGAGGTCTATAGACTAGTAGCGTTGGATTAGCAGATCAATAGGGCAGAGTTGGCAAGGAGATAGACACACACATACACACACAGATCCTATGAAGTTAGATGGTTATCAGACTTAACTTGCAAATATTTCTGACCTTTTTTTAAATTTAAAAAAATTTTTTTTTATTTTTATTTTTTAAAGATTTTATTTCACAGAGAGAGACACAGCAAGAGAGGGAACACAAGCAGGGGGAGTGGGAGAAGGAGAAGCAGGCTTCCCGCTGAGCAGGGAGCCCGATGCGGGGCTCGATCCCAGGACCCTGGGATCATGACCTGAGCCGAAGGCAGATGCTTAACGACTGAGCCACCCAGGCGCCCCTATTTCTGACCTTTTAGCCACGACTCCCCTCGTGCCCCTGGGAGAAAAAAAAACACGTGCGTGGAGCATCCCGATTTCTTTTGGAACCTAAAGACTTTCTGGCATCAAGAGCTGAATAAAACTTTTGTTTCTGTTTATATAAATGATAACCTTCTTATGGCAAACCATGAACTAAAAGCCTATAATTATCCTTCAGTGGAAGCAAAAAACAGAGTACCAAGCAGAACCCAGTTAATGAGGCTTTTTAGGAGACTATTACTGAAGCCCATGTAGACCACTTTCCCATGGTCTTGGTTTGTTTTTGTTTTCCCTTGATAAAACCTAGAACTTCTATAGAATAAATTGACTGCGTGCCCTTAAAATAACTCCAAAATTCCCAGACCCTGACAACTACTAATCTACTTTGTCAGTATGGACTTGCTTCTTCTCGATCTTTTATATGCGTATAATCATACAGTATGTATTTTTTTGTGTGTGTCTTCCTTCACTTAGTATAATGTTTTTAAACTTCATCCGTATTGGAACATGTTACAGACTTCGTTGTTTTTCTTTTCCAGCTTTATTAAGGTATATTTGACAAAACTGTAAGATACGTAGTGAACATCGTGATGATTTTGGTATTTGTATACATTGTGAGAGGACTCCTCACATCTAATCTAACACATCCATCCCCTCACATATTTCTTTATTTCTTCGGTTTTGTTTTTTTTTTTTTTTTGGTGAGAACATTTAAGTTCTGCTCTCAGCAAATTTTATTTGTACAATACAGTGATATCAACTATAGTCACCATGTTATACATTAGATCCTCAGACCTTCATTTTACAGTTGAATGTTTGTACCTTTTTACCAAGGTTTCATTCCTTTTTTATTGCTGAAGAATATTCCGCTGTACGGATGGACCACATTCTGTGTTTCCACTTACTGGCTAACAGACATTTGGCTTGTTTCTGCTTTACCACTACTGTGAATAGTGCTGCTCTGAACATTCATGTGCAAGTTTTGCTGGAATACATGTCTTTGGTTCTTCTGGGTATTTACTGAGAAGTGAAAATGCTGGATCATGCCTTAGTTGTAGTTTTAACTTACTGAGGAACAGCCGAACCATTTTTCACAGTGCCTGCACAATTTTATATTTCCACCAACAATGTATGAGAGTTCGTTTCTCCTCATTATTGACAATGATTATCTTTTTATTATTGCCATCCTAGTGGGTGTGAAGTAGTATCTCATTGTGGTCTTGATTTGCTTTTCCCTAATTACTAATGAGTACCTTTTCATGTGCTTGTTGGATATTTGTATATCTGCTTTGCAGACATGTCCATTCAAATCCTTGGCCCATTTTTAAATTGGATTTATTGTAAGAGTATTTTGGGTACTAGATTTTTATCAGATACATGATTTTCAAATATTTCTTCCCATTCTGTGAGTTGTCTCTTTTCCTTCTCTTGAAAGTATAGCCTTTGATTCACAAAAGGTTTTAATTTGGTAAAGTCTGTTTAATCTCTTTTCCTTTGTTCTGTTTGCTTTTGATGTCATATCTAAGAATCCGCTGTCAGTCTAAGATCATGAAGATTCACTCCTGTTTTTTTCTAAGAGTGTTCGAGTTTCTAGCTCTTACATTTAGGTCTTTGATTTATTTTGAGTTAATTTTTGTATATGATATGAGGAAGGGGTCCATTTTCATTCATTGGCATATGGATATCCAATTCCAATACCTTCTGTTGAAGAGACCATTTTTTTCTCCCATTGAATCATCTTGGCACCCTTATTGAACATCATTTGACCATAGATATATGGGTTTATTTCTGGACTCTCAGTTCTGTTCATTTGCTCTGTATGTATAATATCATGCCACTTCCGTTTTGATACTGTAGCTTTGTAGAAAGTTTGAGGTCAGGACATGTGAGTTCTCCAGTTTGTTCTCCTGAACAAATTCTTTTTGACAAATTTGTCAAGATTGTTTTGGCTATTTTTTTTTAATGATTTTATTTATTTATTTGACAGAGACACAGCGAGAGGGAATACAAGCAGGGGGAGTGGGAGAGGGAGAAGGCTTCCCGCTGAGCAGGGAGCCCAGTGTGGGGCTTGATCCCAGGACCCTGGGATCATGACCTGAGCCGAAGGCAGACACTTAACGACTGAGCTACCCAGGTGCCCCTTGGCTGTTTTTTTTTTTTTTTTTTTAAGATTTATTTATTTGAGAGAGAGTGCACACAAGTGGGAGTGGCAGGGAGAAGAAGAGAGAATCTCAAGCAGATTTCTTGCTGAGCACAGAGGCCAACGTGGGGCTCGATCTCACGACCCTGAAATCATAACCTGAGCCAAAATTAAGGGCTGGATGCTTAACTGACTGAGCCACCCAGGTGCCCCTTTGTTTAAAATTTAATATTGCATTTAAGATCTATCCAAATTGGTTAATACTTGATTCCTTTTAATATTCTGTTATGACAGCATACATTTTAGTTGTCCATTTCTTCTTATGTCATTTCCGTTTATCATTATTACGTATATATCTTCAGTGACCATCTTTTACATTTTCTCTCCCTGTATAGGAGCAAGCATTCCAAGTATTCCGTAGTGTACACACATGATTAATATGTTGGGTCATAAAGACGAAGGACTTCCAGTGTCACTTGGTAGTGCCAAATTGGTCTAAGTGACCATATGACTCTCACCAGCTGTTCTATGATAGGACAGCTTTTCTTTGTCTCCTTGTTGACAGTTGATACTGTTATTTCAAAATTATGGCCAGTCTGATGGATGATGGAAACCTCATGGTTTTGATTTATATTTCTCTGATTATGGATAAGATTGGGCCTTTCACTTTTTTTCTGTGAAATGTTGATTTATGTATTTTGTATATTTTTACTTATTTTTCTGTTAATTTTGTTCTGTATTTCTTATTAATTTATAAATATCCCTTATGAGTTTTGTATAGTAATCTTTCTTCTATTCATTGTAAATGTCTTCTCCAGGGTTTGTCTTATTTTTTTCACTTCGTGGTATCATTGGTCATATGAAAGTTTTACATTTTGATGTCATCAGATTTGTGAATCTTTTTTCCATGGTTTTTGTTTTTATTTGGGCTTTTTCTTTTTGTTTTGTTTTTTGGTGTTTTTTTAGTTTTTGTTTTAGTTCTTTTATCCTTGGGTATATTCCCGTTGTGATACATAGTCATATTCCTGTGTCTTAACTCAGGAGGTATTTCCTCTCTGAGGTATAGCATCAAATTGAGACACAATATGATTCATTTGTTTCATTTGCTCTTTGTTTTTAGAGTTTTGTTTTCATTTTGATAATTATTTTCCGATAAGGATAAAAAATATTTAAATGTTTCTGAGGATGGACTGTGAATATAAAGCAAAGCATATGCACAGATCAGTCTGGTTCCATCTCTGTCCCCCATCTTACTCCTTCTCTTACCCAATGTGGGTGACCATTTTTTTTAAGTTTTTATTTTAATTCCAGTTAGTTAACATACAATTTTATATTAACTTTAGATGTGCAATATAGTGATTCTCATTTTGGTTTTTTTTTTAAGATTTGACAGAGAGAGACACAGCGAGAGAGGGAACACAAGCAGGGGGAGTGGGAGAGGGAGAAGCAGGCTTCCCGCTGAACAGGGAGCCCGATGCGGGGCTCGATCCCAGGACCCTGGGATCATGACCTGAGCCGAAGGCAGACACCTAACGACTGAGCCACCCAAGTGCCCTGTCATTTTGTTACTGTTAATATAAGCAGGCCTATATGTAGATCTTTGTGTGTCCCATATTGTACTTGATTTTCTCACTTAAACTTTGTTTTTTTTAAAGATTTTATTCATTTGAGACAGAGAGAGAGAACATGAGCAGGGGGAGAGGGAGAGGGAGAAGCAGACTCCCCGCTGAGCTGGGAGCCAGATATGGGGCTTGATCCCAGGACCTAGAGATCATGACCTGAGCCGAAGGCAGACACTTAACCATCTGAGGCACCCAGGTGCCCCTAACTTAAACTTTGTTTTGTCACTTAATATATTATGGAGTTCACGCTGTAGTGCTACATGGAGATATTCCTCAGTTCTTTTTCCAGTAGCTTAGCACTCCATGGTGTGAGTATACCATAACACATTCAACTAGTTCCTTAGTAATCAATATTTGGGTTGTTTTTAGTTTTTTTTGCAAATATAAATAGTGATATAGCCTTGTTCCTACACCTCTTTCTTTGGCCAGTGTGCCCTTGTGGTTGGTTCCCAGAATTGGGATTTCTGGGTTAAATGGTAAAATCATGTAATTTAGCTAACCATTGCCATATTTCACTTCATGTTAGTTAATCACTTTGCATTCTGAACAGGATATGAGGATGCTTTTATGCCTATAACAAATTAAGTATGTGTGCTGTTAAACTTGGATTTCTGCCAGTCCAATAGGAGTGAAATGG